CTTCTCAATAACCAAAAGGCCTTGGATGATGATATTTGGCCATTAACATGCTGGGATGAAGGGCTACCAATTGCAAGTTTGTTCTAATGAATGACCTTTGCTCATATTCAAGGTCACATGGATCAAATATGTTTAAATCTTTAAATGACTTCTTCTGAATATTCAAAAGGTCCAGGGTAATGATATTTAGCCAGAAATATGCCGGGACGGAAGGCTATAAACTTTGAAGGTCGCAGGCGTCATATGTTTAAATCATTTAATAGATTCAAAAGGATCGAACACAGGTATTTTGCCTGTAGCTGTATATTAGTCCACTTTTAAGATTACAAGTGTGAGATTAATACCAGGTGAGCGAATCAGGCCCATTGGGCCACTTGTTTTATCATGTGGGACAACAGACAGTACGAGCACTGCAACTAGCGCAGATAGTAGATGATAAAAGAAATAAGAAGTTTAATCAAGATGACAGCATTTAATAAGATTTAAAATAGCTAAACAATGAAAACATATAGCAACCGGTATTAAGAAAGTAAATAAAATTAAAAGCTGCATGTGTAACATAACTTGTCGTTTTGACATAGTCCACAAAACTGTAATCGGCTGCGTTAATTTTACAAAATATTACAATAAAAGGAACTTTTCCATCATTTTAAAACGAAAAAAATCTTGAATCCTAGTTAGCATAATGTTGATTGATAACAAAATTAACAATCACGAGGTATTCACGTTTGAATATCTTAAAGTTGGTTGATAATCTGCTATGTGATTTGCGCTTAATATTGCCATGTCGATATATGGTTTTGCACACCAAGTAAATTAACACTCAAAACATTGTCTGGAAAAATAAGTATGCACACAATATGATAATGCAGCTACAATGGTAGAGTTCCTTAATGATACTGTCGTTAATCCTCTAATTATCGGACGTCCAGCCGACACTTGTATAGGAAGCACAATGAGCATGGAACGCAGCCTGTGCCTCGAGACATGTCGACGGCAGTGCCAGTGTTATACACAGGTAAAATATCTGTCAGGCATGACAGGTCACACCTGTTCGACGAATAGATAGGATTAATACTATGACCATGAAGCGTCGGGAACAAAATTTTGTTGGAGGAATATGGGGCATCGAGGAAGGGCGAATAGTCCAGGGTTACTTTACAAAGAATATGTACAAACTCCAAATGAACTGTTCGATGAATGAGGGGTATTCGAGTAAACCGAGTTCGAGGAAGTGGTGTTTTACTGTATTGATAAACTATGGAAAATAAATATAAAAAGATAGCAAATTATTTTATAGCATTAAAACTCACCAACTATGATAATCCAGTACTTATCTGCCAAAATATCATCAATGGATGGTGGTGTCTTGACCTCAGCCCCTTTGAATGGAGAGGTGAAACTAGGCTTGGCTTCGGGTGAAATCTCAGCCCCTTCGGTCTTACATTGCAGGTCAAAGATGAACGCTCCTGTAAGTTGTATTTGAGTTACTGTAAAAAAAATCACATTTTAAAGATTAAATTTTGATTTATCACTTTACATGATATTATGTATTTTCCCATATTTTTTCATTTATTTATGAATCTTGCACTTGTACAAATTATGATTTAAATGAAAAAATATATCCACTTTGTGGATCAATTAGTATTCACTGTGTTATATCAATAAATGGCCTGTGTAGTAAAGCTACTACACTTCAGATTGATTGAATAGGTGACATATTCCACTGTAAGGATGATAATTTAAAAGGTGACAATTATGCTGAGGAGATAATCTACCACAGATATTCTATATAACAGTAAGGGAATAATTTACCAAGGTGACAATACTGCTGAGGAGATAATTAATCTATCACAGATATTCTATATAACAGTAAGGGAGATAATTTACCAAAGTGACAATATTCCTAAGGAGATAATCTACCACATATATTCTATATAACCGTAAGGGACATAATTTACCAAGGTGACAAAATTCCTAAGGAGATAATTAATCTACCACAGATATTCTATATAACAGTAAAAGAGATAATTTACCAAGGTGACAATATTCCTAAGGAGATAATCTACCACAGATATTGTATATAACTGTAAGGGACATAATTTACCACGGTAACAAAATTCCTAAGGAGATAATTAATCTACCACAGATATTCTATATAACAGTAAGGGAGATAATTTACCAAGGTGACAATATTCCTTTGGAGATCATTAATCTACCACAGATATTGTATATAACAGTAAGGGACATAATTTACCAAGGTGACAAAATTCCTAAGGAGATAATAAATCTACCACAGATATTCTATATAACTGTAAGGGACATAATTTACCAATGTTACAAAATTCCTAGGGAGATAATTAATCTACCACAGATATTCTATATAACAGTAAGGGAGATAATTTACCAAGGTGACAAAATTCCTAAGGAGATAATTGATCTATCGCAGATATTCTATTTAACAGTAAGGGAGATAATTTAACAAGGTAACAAATTCCTAAGGAGATAATTTACCACAGATATTCTATATAACAGTAAGGGAGATCATTTACCAAGGTGACAATACTGCTGAGGAGATAATCTACCACAGATATTCTTTATAACTGTTAGGGACAAAATTTACCAAGATCACAATATCCCTAAGGAGATAATCTACCACAGATATTCTATATAACAGTAAGGGACATAATTTTATAATTTACCAAGGTGACAATAATCCTAAGGAGATAATCTACCACAGATATTCTATATAACAGTTAGGGATATAATTTACCAAGGTGACAATATTCCTAAGGAGATAATTCTACCACAGATATTCTATTTAACAGTAAGGGACATAATTTACAAAGGTGACAATACTGCTGAGGAGATAATCTACCACAGATATTCTATATAACAGTAAGGGAGATAATTTACCAAGGTACCAATACTGCTTAGGAGATAATCTACCACAGATATTCTTTATAACTGTAAGGGACATAATTTTGTAATTTACCAAGGTGACAATAATCCTAAGGAGATAATCTACCACAGATATTCTATATAACAGTAAGGGAGATAATTTACCAAGGTACCAATACTGCTAAGGGGATAATCTACCACAGATATTCTATATAACAGTAAGGGACATAATTTTCCAAGGTACCAATACTGCTGAGGAGATAGTCTACCACAGATATTCTATATAACAGTAAGGGACATAATTTACCAAGGTGACAATACTACTGATGAGATAATCTACCACAGAGAGTCTATATGCATTGTACGGATGATAATTTACCAAGTTGGCGATAATGTTTGGAAGATAATTTACCATGGAGAGTATATACTCAGTAAGGGAGATCATTTACAATGTGACAATACTGTTGGAAAAAAAATCTACGAAAGAAAGTATAGCTATGGAATGGTAATGGAGATACTCTACAATGAACATTATATAAACACTGTACTGAAAATAATCTACCCAGGAGATTTAATGAGTACCATAAGGGAGACAACCTACCAAAAATATTATCTATCCAATGTAAGAGAGATTACTTACCTAGGAGAGTCTATATACACAGTAGGGGAAATAAGCTACCTACGAGAGGCTATAAACCTTGCAAGGGAGATAATCTACCAAGGAGATTCTGATAAACAATGTAAGAGAAATAATCTACAAAGGAGATTATATATACACTGTAAGGGAGATAATCTACCAAAGAAAATACCATAAACCCTGTAAGGGAGATAATCTACCAAGGAGATTCTGATAAACAATGTTAGAGAAATAATCTACAAAGGAGATTATACATACACTGTAAGGGAGATAATCTACCATAAGAAATTCTATATACACTGTAAGGGAGACAATCTACTAAGGAAATGGGACATAATCCATCTAGGAGATTCTATATAACTGTAAGGGAAATAATAAACCATGGGAATATATATATGTAAGAAAAATAATCTACCAAGAAAATACTATATACATTGAAAGGGAGAATATCTACCAAGGAGAGTATATATATCCACTGCAAGAGAGAAAAACTACCATGGAGATTCTATTTACACTGTAAGGTAATCTACCAATGAGATCTGTCTAGGAGATTCTATATAACTGTAAGGGAAATAATCAACCAAAGAAAATACTATATACACTGTAAGGGAGATAATCTACTAAGAAAATACTATATACATTGTAAGGGAGAATATATACCAAGGAGAGTATGTATATCCACTGCAAGAGAGAAAATCTACCACAGAGATTTTATATACACAGAAAGGGAGATACTCTACCAAGGAGATTATATACATACAGTAAGGGAAATAATCTACCAAGGAGATTCTATATATACAGTAAGGGAGATAATCTACCAAGGAGATTATATATACACAGTAAGGGAGATAATCCACCAAGGAGATTATATATATATAAAGTAAGGAAGATAATCTACTAAGGAGATTATATATATATACAGTAAGGGAGATAATCTACCAAGGAGATTATATATATACAGTTAGGGAGATAATCGACCAAGAAGATTCTATATACACAGTAAGGGAACAGGTCTAAGGAGATAATTAATCTACCACAGTAAGGGAGATAATCTACCAAGGAGATTATATATATACAGTTAGGGAGATAATCGACCAAGAAGATTCTATATACACAGTAAGGGAAATAATCTACCAAAGAGATTCTATATATACAGTAAGGGACATAATCTACCACAGTAAGGGAGATAATCGACCAAGGAGATTCTATATACACAGTAAGGGAAATAATCTACCAAAGAGATTCTATATATACAGTAAGGGACATAATCTACCACAGTAAGGGAGATAATCGACCAAGGAGATTCTATATGCACAGTAAGGGAAATAATCTACCAAAGAGATTCTATATATACAGTAAGGGAGATAATCTACCAAAGAGATTCTATATACACGGTTAGGGAGATAATCTACCAAAAAGAATACATATTTCTCCCACTCTTCACAGGAACATTCCCGTTTTTGGTAGGGAAAAGATAAATCTGTCTTGATCTACATTGACAAAGCCTCGTGCTAAACCTAAAAAAATATCTCGCCCTCTGGTTGAGATATCTCTGTCTACATCACACAGGAGTGATAGGTTCTATTAATCCACTGCAAGAGAGATACTCTACCACAGAGATTCTATATTTACAGTAAGAGAAATAATCTACCAAGGAGATTATATGTATACAGTAAGGGAGATAATCTACCAAGGAGCTTCTATATATACAGTAAGGGAGATAATCGACAAAGAAAGGAGAGTATTTATCCAATGGAAGGGAGAAAATCTACCAAAGATAGTATTATACTAACATGGATCATCAAAGTCATCGAATGATCATCTGATGACAGCAGTTTCCTTTATAAATGTTGACTAGACTAATTAATGTTTACCGTTGAGTATAATACCTTGACTAGGTTTTGATTTGGCAAGGAGTTTTATGAATTTGTCCACGGCAGAAACCTCCAGGAGTGTTAAGTAGGAATCATCACCGTCACAACTGTCATCACTTGTCTGAAAATTAATCAATATAATTACTAAAAACTTGAACATTAAACAATAAAAAGGGGGAAAAAATACTGCAGTTTGATTAATAACAACAGTGAATGCTGTTATTTCAACTTCCATAAAGGCAAAAGGGATTGTGTTTTGTTTGAATGAAAAATGATTAATAGGTAACAGTCCAGTTAAATGGACAAGAAAAAAATGACCTGGTTCTCTGATAGTTTTCACTTTGTCAATTCAAACCTATTTAAAAACTTCTTTCATAGTCCTGAACATCAAATGAATAGGTGTTGTTCTTTTTAAGTGGCTTGGAAAACCAAATGTCTTAGATTGGTTGGGACCTTTTTCAAAAATTGGTACAATTTTTCATCTTAGTATTATTATTAAACATATTTGGCTCAGTAAGAAATTCATAATGGCCACTATAATCCTATATTGTCAGAAATACTTTTGAATTTAGATAATATATAAAAATGTGCCAGAAATCCAGGCCCCTGGGTTTCTTAACTTGTTCAAGAACTTGTGAAGAGAGTTGAAATATGCTAGGTGACTAGGACTTTATATGAAACTTGATTATGACATCACTTCAGAAAGTTTTGCTAAAGGTTTTTACTTCAGGAAAAGCTATATATTTAGAGACGAGCTGTTCTGATCATATCCTTATCAAGCCACCAAATCATGATTGTTTATCCCACAACGTAAGGTTAAAGGATTCTTCAGCTTCAGGTAACAAAATTCTTGAGCATCAAAGGGCAGTAACAGGTAGTCCTGGGCATTAAATGACATTATTCCTGACTAATAAGTGACACTATTCCAGACCCTGAAGTGACACTATTCCAGACCCTGAAGTGACACTATTCCAGACCCTGAAGTGACACTATTCCAGACCCTAAAGTGACATTTTTACAGATTCTTAACTCATTCACACCCGAAGTTTAATAATACACTATTCCAACCTTTGAATTGGAAGAGTTCAAATGTGTCGTTAGGGGTGAAAGAGTTAAGTAACATTAACCCAGACCCTGAAGTGACATTATTCCAGACCCTGAAGTGACACTATATGTTCCAGACCCTGAAGTGTCACTATTCCAGAGTGTTAAGTGATTTTATTTGATCCTGAGCATATATAGTACCTGAAATTGTATTTAGCAACAGTATTCTAGAACATTTGAAGACCAACAGGTTGGATGAAGGGTTTTAGCATGACATTTTGATATCGATATATATAGACAATTGAAGGATGACTGCTGAGTATAAGTTACCTTATTAGTGAAGAAAAGTCTAGTTATAGTTTTGTTGATCTGCAGGCTACATGAGTTGATCATGACTGGAAGACCTTGACCTTCAGACTGACCTGTTTGACCTTCTGGCTGACATGGCCTGCATATCTCAAACTGAATGGAAACCAGCTGTGAATCTTTGCCTGATAAATAGAACCATACAAAATAATGTTTTTGTCATCACTGAATGTGTTTAAAAATGAAAATTTTCATATTTAACTACAATTTTGAATCAAAATCTATCAATGAACTTATAACAATCACTCTTGTTGGCCCAAATCATACTCTGCAGAGGTCTTAATATGGGTCAGGAAACTGGAATACTCAGCTATGGTTCTATCAACGTAACATTGGCTTAAACTTGGGAACAAAAGTGATTAATATAAGTTGGAAAACTTGTTTCACAATTGTTGTAAAATATATCAAGTTTTGGTATATCATTTTTATAAAATATGCCGCCATTTTATACTGCATGGAATATTAATAGAAAATATACACTTAATTCCTTATATGAATGTGAAAGAAGAAAAGATAAAATATGTATCATTTGGTTGTAATAGGTTTAGAATAGGCTTTATTCTGGTAGTCTAGAGATATAGTGACAATACAGACTGACCAGATACACGACCCGTATAATCAGTGGCAAAGGTCGGTTAGGACATGTTTCAGTGTTGGCTTTTGAACATAGTCATTTAACTTAATGGGGTTTTGTTCCAAAAGGGACATATTTTGGATACCAAGTAAGCAAGTTCACACTTTATGCTACTCACCCGTTTGTTTAAGGTAGTTCTCTGGAATCTCCTGACACTGACCAGAAGTAGTGACCAATACAATGTTGACCACAGATAGTAATGACCACAATAGGAGTGCTCTGGCCATCGTGAAGGCTGGGTCTGGTATTTCCATGAAATTCAATCCTTACTTTTTGTAGGTCTCTTTTTCAATTTGTATATGTTCCCACAAGTAAATAAAAATAAAACATTTACAAATATCTTTGAATCATACATCAAGAGTAACGAAGATTTCTATGTTCAGTTACTCCTTTCTTCTCAAAGAGGTCAACCCTTTCTTCCTTCACAAACATTTAAGATATTACCCAGTCCTTTAGACCTGTCCTTGCAGTAGTGTGTCGGTGTCTTCTCGCCATTCATATGCACAACTCATCCATTCTTGTTCATTTAATAGTCACAAGGTTCAGGTAAAACTATCCTAATTGGTGTGAATCTACATCAAAATGTATTTTGTTATTTTCAATTCAATGAAACACAAATCACATGTCATTCACAGTTGTTTGATGGAGTCATCATGTACCACTAACTCTATTTGTTTGATGAAGTAGTGATGTGATGTAGCTTAAAGCCACAATGGATGTTATAACAATAGGTCATGTGAAATTACGAGAATCCTGTGAGTTGTATTTTGTATATCCGTGTATTTACACAAACAAGGTTTTCCTGTTGATGTGACATCCCAAAGTGTTTCAGAGTCATGTCAAGTATCTCTGACTAACCTAGATTGCTGTGCACTTATTTATATATTTAAGAGGTTTTATTAATAATAATTGCATAATATATTTGTAAATTTTATAGGCATTCGATTTGTGAGTTATTAAAAAACATCAGTTTTAAAACAATTGCCAATTTTGTGATATAGTTATAGGGACTATTTCCATATATTTCATACCCAGGAAACAGGAAATTAGTGCTACAAATGATTAAATCCATTGTTGTTTGTACTTATATAACATGAGTGCAAATAGTTCCGTCATCGCTGCCTACGAACTTTAGCTTAAGTGGAGGACCAAAAGTGGTATTGATAATCTATCAGAGCCCGATATATATTTATAATTAATAAATCCACATGCTACTTATACAGTCTAGTGACAACCTTATAACTACAACTACTGTCTAGTGACAACCTTATAACTACTACTACAGTCTAGTGACAACCTTATAACTACTTCAGTCTAGTGACAAACTTATAACTACTACAGTCTAGTGGAAACCTTATAACTACTACAGTCTAGTGACAACCCTATAACTACTTCAGCCTAGTTACAACCTTATAACTACTACTACATTCTAGTCACAACCTTATAACTACTACTACAGTCTAGTGACAACCCTATAACTACTACAGTCTAGTAACAACCTTAAAACTACTACTTCAGTCTAGTGACAACCTAATAACAACTACAGTCTAGTGACAACCCTATAACTACTTCAGTCTAGTGACATCCTTATAACTACTACAGTCTAGTGATAGCCCTTTAGCTACTACAGTCTAGTGACAACCTTATAACTACTACAGTCTAGTGAAAACCTTAAAAATACTACTTCAGTCTAGTGACAACCTTATAACTACTACAGTCTAGTGACAACCCTATAACTACTTCAGTCTAGTGACAAACTTATAACTACTACTACATTCTAATTTCAACCTTATAACTACTACTACATTCTAGTGACAACCTTATAACTACTACTACAGTCTAGTAACAACCTTATAACTACTACAGTCTAGTGACAACCTTATAACTACTACAGTCTAGTGACAACCTTATAACTACTACAGTCTAGTGACAACCTTATAACTACTACTGTCTAGTGACAACCTTATAACTACTACTACATTCTAATTTCAACCTTATAACTACTACTACATTCTAGTGACAACCTTATAACTACTACTACAGTCTAGTAACAACCTTATAACTACTACAGTCTAGTGACAACCTTATAACTACTACAGTCTAGTGACAACCTTATAACTACTACAGTCTAGTGACAACCTTATAACTACTACAGTCTAGTGACAACCTTATAACTACTACAGTCTAGTGACAACCTTATAACTACTACAGTCTAGTGACAACCTTATAACTACTACAGTCTAGTGACAACCTTATAACTACTACAGTCTAGTGACAACCTTATAACTACTACAGTCTAGTGACAACCTTATAACTACTACAGTCTAGTGACAACCTTATAACTACTACAGTCTAGTGACAACCTTATAACTACTACAGTCTAGTGACAACCTTATAACTACTACAGTCTAGTGACAACCTTATAACTACTACAGTCTAGTGACAACCTTATAACTACTACAGTCTAGTGACAACCTTATAACTACTACAGTCTAGTGACAACCTTATAACTACTACAGTCTAGTGACAACCTTATAACTACTACAGTCTAGTGACAACCTTATAACTACTACAGTCTAGTGACAACCTTATAACTACTACAGTCTAGTGACAACCTTATAACTACTACAGTCTAGTGACAACCTTATAACTACTACAGTCTAGTGACAACCTTATAACTACTACAGTCTAGTGACAACCTTATAACTACTACAGTCTAGTGACAACCTTATAACTACTACAGTCTAGTGACAACCTTATAACTACTACAGTCTAGTGACAACCTTATAACTACTACAGTCTAGTGACAACCTTATAACTACTACAGTCTAGTGACAACCTTATAACTACTACAGTCTAGTGACAACCTTATAACTACTACAGTCTAGTGACAACCTTATAACTACTACAGTCTAGTGACAACCTTATAACTACTACAGTCTAGTGACAACCTTATAACTACTACAGTCTAGTGACAACCTTATAACTACTACAGTCTAGTGACAACCTTATAACTACTACAGTCTAGTGACAACCTTATAACTACTACAGTCTAGTGACAACCTTATAACTACTACAGTCTAGTGACAACCTTATAACTACTACAGTCTAGTGACAACCTTATAACTACTACAGTCTAGTGACAACCTTATAACTACTACAGTCTAGTGACAACCTTATAACTACTACAGTCTAGTGACAACCTTATAACTACTACAGTCTAGTGACAACCTTATAACTACTACAGTCTAGTGACAACCTTATAACTACTACAGTCTAGTGACAACCCTATAACTACTACAGTCTAGTGACAACCCTATAACTACTACAGTCTAGTTACAACCTTATAACTACTACAGTCTAGTGACAACCCTATAACTACTACAGTCTAGTGACAGCCTTATAACTACTACAGTCTAGTAACAACCTTATGACTTAAACAGTCTAGTAACAACCTTATAACTACTACAGTCTAGTAACAACCTTATAACTACTACAGTCTAATGACAACCCTATAACTACTACAGTCTAGTTACAACCTTATAACTACTTCAGTCTAGTAACAACCCTATAACTACTACTACAGTCTAGTGACAGCCCTGATAACTATTTCAGTCTAGTGACAACCTTATAACTACTTCAGTCTAGTAACAACCCTATAACTACTACTACAGTCTAGTGACAGCCCTGATAACTATTTCAGTCTAGTGACAACCTTATAACTACCACTTCAGTCTGGTGACAACCTTATAATTACTACAGTCTAGTGACAACCTTATAACTACT